GATAAACGCGTCAGCGAACAGTGCGCGCGCGGCGTGCCGACCATCTGGTCGTTCCGTTTAAAAACGACCAACGACGCGACCCGGTCCCAACACCGTTGACGCTGTGCGGTAGATCCATTCCCCGGTAGATCATTCCCTCGCTTTGTGCCGGTGCCACCGTACGCATACTGTTCCTGGTAAAGAGTGGATTGGTGTGGTTTTCGTGACACTCTACTGATAGCCTAGTGAACGTTTCACGGGGAACTATGCTGTCAACCGGCCCGATCACCGTGCTACTCGTGGTCCTCGCTGCCACCGGGATCCACGCAACTCAGACCATGGACGCCAAGATTCGCGATGATCCGGACTTGTCTCAGGTGAGTCGAATTTATGCATGTACTTTGTTGTTACTGCTCGTTGTGCTCGATTGTCTTGTTCCTTTGGCGAGCTTGTGGGAATGTAATGGCGGGAAGATATGATGTTTTGAAATACGATAATTGAAATTTGAAGGTGGATCGTTGAGGTGGGAAAAATGTAACCTCTAAGTTGGAAAAAATTCGTTAATTCGGGTTGTTCTTCTTCGGGAAAGATTATGTTGCGTTCATTGTTTTGAGGAGTACTTTTGATTAGTTCGTTGTGAAGTTACGGGGTAAGTTTTAGGTTATTTTATGTACTTTACGGCTTTGAGTTGTGCTGTGTTCATTACAGTGAAATTTTCATGTGATGCGATATGTAAAATATGAATTATATTTGTCGGATTTAATTTATTTTGTAAGTCGAGAATAGTGTTGAAAATTTGAAAAAGTTACTAATGAATGGGTAGTGAAGTGTCATCCGTAAAGCTTGAATTATTAAAAGTGTATTCCAAAAGCTATTCGAATATAAATTAAATTAAGTTCCATGAGAATTTATGAAGATAATGTTCAATTCTTTTGCAGATTAATTAACGATCCACTCGATTGAATAATTTCAATATCTATCTTTTATTTATTATTTTTCACCGATGTTTAAGCTTCCACAAACTTCATATCGCATCGTTAGGTTAGGTTTTTATTGAAATTCTCGTTAAATGTAGGCTATTCGATATGATGACTTGCCCAAAACGGTTGGTTGTCTGTGTTCAGTTGGAAGACCATAAAGTAGTTTCCCGTTCGTATTCGAGCGCGTCGAATTTCGTGCGCAGCTGTTGACTGACTGTAATAACAAATACGTGGAAACTATCGTACTGTCAATTTACTGATGGTCTTAACATCCATGACCTTCCAAAATGCCAGCTCCGAAATTGAACCATTCATTTGTTAAAGTGGTTTGACCACAAAAAAATAATAGAAAAATTTAATTCAATTGCACACGTACAATATTAATTACACAGGTTTTAGTATTAGAATTTGAAGAAATTAAAAAAAATTAAGTTCAGTCTATTCAGCTTGCGAACACAGCAATTCCCAAGCTGATTTTGGATAGTGTTTTATATTCGTGAGAATTTAGACGAGCAGACGTTACAAAATCAAATATGGTGTGCATTTCCGACACGCACGAACGGACCATGAAGGTTACTTTTAATTCACCGGGTTAGGCTTGCTGGCGGCGCGGCCGGTGCTGGATTAAATCTCCATTGGAACCTATTTACTTTCACGTTGTTGTAGCCACAGTGAAAGTGAGATCGGATTTTTCTGACTTGAGCGGAGCACACCGTTATTCGATAATACGGTGTTTGTTACTTAATCGAATCATTTTTTTACTGAATCACAATAATCATGGAAAAAGGATGAGAACAATTTTTGCGTACGTAGTGTTGTCAAATGTAAATTATTTTTTGGAATTATTCAAGATAGTTAAATATGGATTTATTAATATATTACAGTATATTTTTGGTATTTAATTATTATTGCTTATTTCGCCAGAGCTATTTAGTTACTGATAGAGAATGTAATTAGAAAAGATAATTAGAGTTATGGAGTAATTTTGTGTACCTCGAAATAAGGTTAGAAAGGTCTTACGTAACCTGTACAGTTTTTGGGTCAAACGTTCGCCATTAAATCGCGAAGGATTTGGAATTAATTCCTTTCTGCATCTCCATTGAATTGCCAATAAGAACGATAACAAGCTTTCTTCGGCTCGACGAGCGAATCACTTAATTTTAGGGCTCTTCTGTACTAACCTTTATGGCGAGGTTTACGCACTGCCTCGGATTATTCCTTTAATTAATGACGCAATAAAGGAGGGTCGGCTAACATAAAATCGAGAGCCACTCGACTCTTTTTTCTTGCTTCATTAAATCGATGCCCTTTCTTCTCGTGTCTATTTTTGCAGAAGTTTTCGCCCTGTGGTTCGGATACCAGATAATATTCATTGGAAACTCTAATAGTCAAGTAAAGTGTCTTAACATTTTTCGGAACATCTTCCGAAATTAATCTAAAAAGAAAATGTTACATATTATTGATACACTTAACGTCACTATTCTTTTATTTTTTTTACCAACAGCTCGGAATATTTATATCCCTAAAAAAAAGCAGTATTCACAGCTCGCCCATATGAACGAGAAACAGAATAAAGCGAGGTTAAATGAACCATTGCACCCATATTTCATTACACAAATAGAACCATAGATTGCCATGCGTAAACAGGAGATTTCATAAATGTACACCATTCTCCGAATAAGCTACAGCGTACAGAAAGATTTTAGTAAAACATGAGTCGATGTTTATTTCATTTTTAATTCAACCAAAGCCCTCGACGCGGAACATTGAATCCCATTTTCGTACTCGGAACCGATGCAAATTTCATTTCGCGTAAATACAAGGCAACTTCGGCTGTAGTAACATAATGAACGTCGATCGGCGATAAATCAAAATGAATTATTCGCTTGAGGCGCGAACGGTGGAAAGAAGGGGTGCGATTTTCCATAGGATTTTTCGGGAAAAAGTGATTTCCGACGGCATTACGGATCCCATTTCAGCGAAACCGTTTAGTTAATGGACTGATCTATATTAAATCCCCCGGAGATACCAGCACCGCATGGCTTTTGAATTCATCTCGCTGAATATTACAATAATGCGTGTCCAGGTTCGAAGGCAGGGGGCGAACGATATCACACCCACCAACTTGTTGCTGCGACAAAAATCGTCAGGACGTTTTCGCTCAAGGCTAGTTTCAGGCTACGATCGATTCGACAAACTACTTGCCGGCGCGCGCGCGCCCTCCACCCCCACCGCCTCCTCCTCCTCCTCCGCGAACCCAGTCCCCCTATGCAACTCGATTTTCGCGGGTTTTATTTCGTTTCACGCTTCCGCCGAACTTCCGCGATTCTTTTTATCGACGGAAACGCGATTTACGGCGTTTAATCTCTCCCACGGACGCGCCGGTTTTTAATTCCGTTATCAGATTTTCGTTATTAACGCGCTGCCTTCCATACGGCTCGCTTACCTGCGGATGCGACTCGAAGATAGACGATGGGATGGATGATTTTTCCCTTGAACGCGTTTTTCTTCATGGAAATACGGAATTATCGATGAATCGAATTATTTTGCGTGACCTAGATCGTCCGGGACTTGGTTAGTCAAAAACTCGATGATTTGAAATCTTCGGTTTGCCTCAGAATATAAATGATTGAATGTATGGGTTTATACTGTTTCTTCTTGAGTCTTGGTTTATGCGAACTGCCAGTCGCTCAATTAGATTGGATAAGCAAGGTTATACTGTATTCGTTTTAAGTGTTTATTCTGGAAGTATTAATTAAGGTTTGCTGGTTTCATATGGATGTTTTGGGAGAGTTTATAAAATTTCGAAATATTGTCGGGAGATTTATAAATGAAATTTACGTGAAACATGGAGTTGCATCTCTTCGTAGGAGACGTGGCACATAATTACGATATTGTATAAAATTTAATTTTTCTAATGCTGCTAGACTTGCACTGTGTTGCTGGAAACATCCAGGCTCACGAGCTAATTAAGTTTTTATAATTTGATGGCAGACCTTTCGAACTTTTGTGTACCTATTCCATCTTTGTGTACGTCCAAAATCCTTCGTTAATTAACTTAATGAACAATGTTGCTTCCGCAAAGTATAGTTCATAAGCAAACATAATTATCAAATGAACATTCTGTAACACTCCAAATTTTCTTGGTAAATCCGTATTTATATTTAGTATTTTCAAAAAATGTTTCATTTGAATCCATTACAAATTCCTTAGTACAATGAACGGAAGCTTAAAATAAAAGTATTGTTTAATTCATGTTTTCTAGTTAATTGGTAATTTATAATACATATTTAAACAGAATAATTGCGAAGGAAGTCGTAAGGCAAGGAGTTAACGAATATTTCCACTAAAAAAAATGTTAATGTAAAAAAAATGTTAGCAATATATTGGCCAATGTATCATGTGTCTTTTCCGCCGATTCGTTTTGATCATGTGTCCACGACGAATCATTGCCGCGTGAATTTCCCGCGCTGTTCCACTTGACCGTCTTCTTGGCGGAAAGTTGCCGCGTTACGCAGCCACGGTGTAACTAAAACGGTCATTGCCAATGTCAATGCCGTTCCCCGGTCTCGCTTCCCGGCTTCTGCCAGCAACTGGTCTTGCCTTTCACTCTTTTTTCCTTTTGTCGCGCAGCGTTTCGTACAACGGCGCCTACGTTAAGTCCCGCTAACTTGTAAGTTCCATTCATGCCGAAGGCGGCGGCAGGTGCGGACAGGTGCGGAAACCTGGAGCAGCGCAGGTGTGTTTGTACACGAGGCCGCAACGCGATAACGGCCCTGTTGACCTTCGGAGCTTCTGTTCGATATTATCCTCTCAAACTTCGTAATTTGCCTCCAACAGCTTCAAATTAAATTCCAGCAGGATTTACGAGGCTGGAAGCGCGCGCAACGCTTTCGCAGATTTCGGCTTGGATCGGAGACTGTTTTATAGTGTAAACGGCTGATTAACACTAAACGTGCCAGTGCTTGATGTACACATACTTACCGTAACCGGTCAAATAACTGTTTATAAAGTAAACAAGTTGAACGATACGTTCTTCTGGAAACAGAAAGAAAAGGGAGGACATAAATTGAGAAACTGGTTAATCAGGCAATATAAGAACTGCTAGAAAGTTAAATGGACGAAAGAAAATGCAGAATTTCCAATGAAGTTTTGAAATCGGTCGAAACTGGGTCAGACTTTAGACCTTTCAGACTGTGATAAGGAAAATGAGGATAGTTGGGAGAAAAGGTACAGTATCCCAGAAAAATAATTTTCGTAACGAGTGAATTAAATTATAATATTTGTAATAATTACTCGTACTGTAAATATATTCGACATACAGGCTTAACTAAGTCCACTCATCAAAAAAGCGCCATTAAAACGATAAATTGCTCGCACGATAAGAACGTAACGAG